GCAACAAAACCCGAACAAAGATGAAAGAATCCAGATCATTTCAAATCAATAAAACTGCAAAAGCCTGAGAATCACTTCCACTGGCTTTGCAGCCCACTTTTGTGTCAGGACCCACTGTTTGGGAAATGCTGCTGTAGAGTCTCAGTTGATCCTTAACATGTATATACTAGATGTTGTTTAGCACTGAATATATATACATGAGCCCATGATGCTGCCTTATACTGAGTCAGACCATTGGTCTGTCAGCATTGTCCAGTCAGGCAGACTCTCCAAGATTTCAGGTGGAGGAGAGGTCTTTCCAATCAATGTGGACTGTATTCCCAGTATGACTGATCTGCTACTATGTCCCACCATTGCTACACAATTATTGATACTGTTACTAGCACTTTATGATTGGTTTTATAAAAGTTCTGTTTTATGTGTTTTAACTTTTTATTTAAGCCGCCCTGAGCCTGCTTCGGCAGGGAGGGCAGGATATAAATCAAATAAATAAATAACCTGCTACCTGATCCTATTTGACTGGAGATGCCAAACATTGAACCTGGTGACTTCGGCATGCAAAGCAGGTGCTCTACTTTTGAACTAAGGTTCTTCACCATAGTATTTCATATATACTGCTATATAAGTGCAGTAATCATTACAGCAGTCTGTTTTATTGTCCACATATTGCAAATTTGGAGGACTGAGAAAACACCAGTTTGCCTAAAGTTCCCTGGTAAATTCATGGCCAAGAAGGGGATTGAACCTGGGACTTCCTGGTTCTAAGCTCTGTCTCTTAGATACTGCACTTGGCTGCTACACTGGCTCACAGGTGTCCCTAACCCTGTTTGTGTTTTACGGTGAACGCACATATATCCTGCTTGGCATATGCACATCTGTTTATAAGAAAGAGTTGATGCTCTTTACGAATGAAACCAGGGATAAATGTGGAGTTTGTATCACACATTCAGATGTACATGTGTTGACTGTAACATGATAATTAGTCAGCACACATTATAATTAGACAGCACACATTCAAAGAACAAACACTGCACACAGATTGTATGTGCATTCACTGCATCTTGCGAACAAGGCTCTTGAACTTACCTGATTTGGGTTGTGTGAAGGCAGCTGTGCCACATGAAGAGTTACTGGTGTACTCTCAGTATCTACACAGTGAATGCATTTGACATAGGTGTAAAGATTCCTCGATTGGTCTGGTTTCATCAGATACTCATTTCCTCACAGCAAATGTGGGAGAGGCTGCCAAATATATAATAGGCTAGCAAATAGAGAAAGAAATCACAATGTCCTTTATAAAGAAAATGGCAGTTCTCAGTAATGAAATGGCAAAATCAGAACAATCTTTTGTGATTGGTCCAAGTCACAGAGTTGAGTCATAGAGATTTCGTGGTGAAGTGGTAAATTGTGTGTCCTATGGAGAATAACATTTGCTGCTTAGATAATGAAAACCTTGCTATTTCAGGACTACATAAATGTCTGGAGTGCTGCCCCTGTGCTTGTGCCCTGGACGAAACCTTTCTTGGAATGAACTCCTGGCAGAAATGTCTCGTGCTGTCTCAGTGGCCTGTTAGTGAGCTGGCTGGATGTCGGGGTTGTCTAAGACTGTGGAGAGGTGTGGGTGTCTGTCTGCTACATCCTTTTCCAGCTCTTGATTTCACTGTTGCTGCGGTGACTCCCACTGACCCAGTGAGTTAGACAGTGAATTGGTGCAATTCAGAGTGGAAGCAACAGGACAAAGAATCAGTCAAAAGATTTTGGATCCTGTGGTCTAGAATTCCATCTGGATGTGGCAGTTCTACATCTCTATTTGTGGTGAACATTCATGAATCCTTTCCCACAATCCTATGAATCTTAGCTTTCATTTTTTTCTATGTGTGATCTACCTACCAGAAATCTGACAACAGATAAAGTACATGCCTCCCTTGCATAACTGATTAATTAAATTCACTGCCACAAGATGTGGTGATGGCCATGGGCTTAGGTGGCTTGAAAGGGGGGTTAGACAAAGACAGAACAGCCAGCAGTGAACACATGATATGATCCAACACGGTTCTTCTTATTTTAAGTTCTTTTATTCCAATGGTGGCTGGTCATTTGTTTACAGGAGTCCTATAAGCAGGGCATGAAAGCTCTCTCTTCATACTTGTTCCCCAACAACTGATTTTCAAAGGTATGCTGCCCCTAGATTGGTTTTGACTACTCCTCTCTTAAAAGTATTTAAGTCAGAAGCCATCATCACATGTTGTGAAGCAAAGTTCATACTTTAATAAGAACAGAAAAAGAGCCCTGGCTGGAACAGGGCCACGGTCTCAGCCTCTCCAGGACCCTGGGATGGTTAAAGTAATTAATCAATTAATCAAGTAATTAATCAATTAAATTAATTAATCAATTACATGAGCTGCAGAAATGGGAAATGGGACCTTATCTCCTGATAGTTTCATCTCTTCATTCTCAGAAATAAGTGCCTGCTCCTCTTCGTCCAATATTTGTGGGCCGGGCACCTGCGTGAACCTTCCAGGAGGATACACCTGTCTTTGTTACCCTGGCTTCCACCAGCATCCCAGTCATACGTACTGCATAGGTATTCCAGTAGCTTTTGTTTGGGCTTATTGGAGGGGTTTGGGTACAGGGGCAGGGAGAAAGAAAAACACCCAAAGCCCCCCCCCCAATTAACAAAAACAGGATGTGAAGGCTGGAAAATAGCCCAGCCCAATACTATCAGAACTTGGCTGAGCTGGAACCTTCATGGATGACTTTCAAATTCCTGTCTGCTGCCCTAAGAGTGCCTGTAAAGAGGGTGAGACTCAGAGCCATTGCCCCATTGACCTTGACACTCTCTTCTTGATTCAGATGTTGATGAATGTGAGAGAAATACATGTGGTGGGAATGGCCATTGCATCAACAATGAGGGCTCCTATTCTTGTCTCTGTTTCTCTGGATACACTCTTCTCACCACACAGGACTCACAGACATGCCAAGGTAAGTAGTATGTTTGTGGCACCCAACTGCTTCCAGTGCCACTTCCTGGAGGATAAAAGTCCTTTTCAGTGGTTATATTTGGGGGTATTTGTGTATACCAGGAACAAACTGAATGCCACCCACAATCCCCTCAGTACACACTCTCACCATTTCATCTGAAGAGGGCACTGTGCCTATTTTCTGCAGAAAATACATGCAGTGCCCTATTCAGACAAAATGATGTCCATGCATGTTGGGAGGATCATGGGTAGCATGCAGTCCCAAAGATGTGTAAATGGATACCTTCATGTAATAACTATAAAGGCCTATTGTG